CGACTCAAACTAACTCAACCATTTTTTCTTTCATTCTTGTGCTGGTTACTTCTCTAAAAATATTTGTTTTCCTAGTAATATTTCGTTAACATTTTTTTACCAAGAAAAAAGTAGTTTTATTCAAATATAAAATGCCCTTTTTTAAAAGAACCTCACATCATCGTACGGATGTACGAGAGAGTTATTAAAATAAATAAATAAATAAATAAATAAATATATATATATATATATATATATATATATATATATAGGAGTGATCACATGTGGCCATGTTGTTATGTGTGGTCATATGGTCAATTATACGCCATTAGATTAGATAGATCCAATGAATCATATTAATCATGATTTTTTTAATATTTTCGCGCACATTCTCCTACCTAACGAACTGCAAGGATAAACTCGTCATAAAACACTGAAATATTAATCAAGATTTTGTTGTGTGTTTTATTACACTATTGGTGCATGTTGTCAATACTGTTGGTGTATTCTGGAACCCGGCCACTATAAATGGCCATTGTAATTACCATAACACGGGAATACACCATTGGTGTGCTTCACTGTGGTGTGTTTTATTACATTATTGGTGTATGTTGTCAACACTGTTGGTGTATTCTGGAACCCGCCCGCTATAAATGGTCACTGTAATTACCATAACACCCCCACTTACCAAAAGGCACGAAAATCTTCAGAATTATCACTGCCGTTAGATTAAACTGATTCAATGACACAGATACGACCACACGACCACATCTAATGACATGACCACATATGAGCGCTCTTCTATATATATATATATATATATATATATATATATATATATATATATATATATATATGAGCTGTTAAAGGTTACGTGTTTGTTTGTAATGTGTTGAGAAATTATTCCAAATTGGTGGAATGAATTATACTTTAGACTTTTTAGTGCCGGTTGTCAGGCTTTATTTTTACATTTAAGAAACCAACTTTGACTCCATCTTTCACAAACCCATGCACGGTCGATGAACGAATTGAAGAGTTAATTATCAAAATGACCCCTTGACTATAGTGAAATTATTAATTTGGTCTTTGACTATTTTTTTAATCAATTAAGTCTTTTAATTTTAAAAATTTTGACTAATTTGTTTGACCGTTAGTCAACCGTTAATTTGGGATCAAATTGATAATTTTGCTATAGTCAAGGGACCATTTTGGTAATTAACTTTAAGGGTGGGCAATTCAGTTTAGTTTTCTCGAATCAAACCGTACCGTACCGTACCGAACCGAACAAGTTTGGTTCGGTAATATACCGAACAACCGAACGGTATTGGATTCTTGTATACCGAACGGTTCAATAAAGAACCGATCTGAATTGTTCGATAAAAAATTGAACTGAATCGAATACCGTCTGATTTTTTTTAAAAAAATATAATAATAATAATAATAATAATAATAATAATAATAATAATAATAATAATAATAATAATAATAATAATAAACAAATAAATAAATAGAAAGTAAATCCAAGTCCGCTTACTCTGCCGTTCAGCTCATATTCTCACGGGTATTTCTCGTAAATGTTTTATTTGATTTCTTTATGGTTTGTTATCAAAAGTTCTATATTATGTGTTATGGTGTTTACATAGTCCATATCCAAAGTCTAATATATAACAAAATAGCAATCCAAAATTCAAACGGTATTCGATTCGGTTTTTACCGAACAATTCAGTTCGGTTCGAGTTGTTACCGAACCGTTCGGTATAAAAGAATCTATTACCATTCGGTTGTTCGGTATATTACCGAATCTAACTAGTTTGGTACAGTTCGATCCGAGAAAACTGAACCGAATTGCCCACCCGTAAAGTTAATTACCAAAATGGTCCCTTGACTATAGCGAAATACCAATTTGGCCCTAAGTCAACGGTTGACTAACGGTCAAACAAATGGATGACCAAATTGGTTAAGATTTTTAAAGTTGAGGGACTTAATTGGTCAAAAATAATAGTCAAGGACCAAATTGGTAATTTCACTATAGTTAATGGACCATTTTGGTAATTAACTCCCGAATTGAATATCTTAAACTCATTTAATATATATTCAAAACAAATTTTGCAAAATATATTACATGATAACAAAAGATGTAGGAGTGGTTGGTTGGAATCATTTAAGATTACTTATGTAATACATGCAAGTATGATAGCATCCATGTTTGGTTACTGACGGATCGACCAACACTTTGACGGATCTGTCATTTTAACGTTTTAACTGAAGTCAAAACGCTAAAAAAATCGTTTGATAACTCAGCGGTTTGCTCCAAATCGTTGAAATCCCAAACGTTGCAACTAGCAATGTTTGGGGTTGGCGTTTTGGGAAGGATTTTATCCTTCCCCAAACCACCCTCCATTATATATATATATATATATATATATATATATATAGAATTTTATTCTGGTGCACTCCACTCTTAAAGTGTGAACCGTGTGCACTCATCATAGCCCTTTAATTGGGAGCTCAACGCCCTTTTTTTCTAAACTTTCTGTGTGGGATCAGAAATGATCCCACATCTTTTTTGTTTTTTTGTTTCTTTTTTTTTTTTGTTTTATTATTATTGTTGTTGTTATCTTTATTATTATTATTATTATTGTTGTTGTTGTTGTTGTTGTTGTTGTTTTTGTTGTTGTTGTTGTTGTTATTATTATTATTATTATTATTATTATTATTATTATTATTATATGTATACCATTTTGGTCACTTTACATGTTAACTGCTAATCTAAACAATTAATTTTACCAAACATTTTTTTACAAACCACTGATAGAATCCGTTGGTCAAACCCGCCAACACAGTCCGTTATTTATTAACCGCTAATACAATCCGCTACCGCTAATCACTGATTGCCAAATAAGCCCATTATCTTTTTTGCTTAAGTTATGAGATAACTTTAATAATTTTATATTATCTCAAAACTAATGTAACAATAATATTCTGAGGTAATATGATTACCTCTATTCTCTTATGTAGTCTAAGATTACATTTTAATTAATATTTTAACGTTGCCCTTGTTAATGATCACTTATAATAATAATAATAATAATAATAATAATAATAATAATAATATGTAAAATAAATATATGTTTATATAATAAAATTAATGTTGAAAAAAACGCTAGGCGCCTGGGGACCGCCTAGGGCGCCTAGGCATGATTTTTGTAACAGTGAATAAAATACACTCCTTCTATCACAATTTACATGTCTTGTTTATTATTCATCAGTAAAATCAAATCATATTTTTTTTAGCATTTTAAAATGTATTTTTTTTAATAATGTTAAAACAAAATAAAACAGTTATGGACTACCAAACAAAAAGAGTATTATTTAACCATATACTGAATTAGTCTTGAGGCTGCTTTGCAAAATATCTAATTCGCAATTCGCAACTTGCCAGTTTAATATTACCGTACGTGAAAGAGACCTACATAAGAAACGTATCAAATTGTCTTTATTATATATACAGGGATTGCTTCAATAATTCAATTACACCTACCACATGAAGCTTAGTCATTGAGTCAACACCACATATTTTTGTATGACAAAATCTCATAAGTTTGTTTTATGAATTTTATCTTTGGGTGGATAAAATTTTTCATTCCTAAATATTACATTTTGATTAAATGTATTACAGTTTTTCTAAAAAATATTATATATTTTTCTAATAATTAAGTATCATACTCCCCATTAAGTAATTATCAATAATTAGTAGGAATAAGGTTCAAATTCGCCACTGAACGTAACCTGAAAATGCAATTAGGCCACTAAACGAAAAAAAAGTGCAATTAAGCCACTGAACACTCCAAAAATGTGCAATTTCACCTGATAGCAGGTTACCCTCAATTTTAGCAAGTTATCTGCTTACGTGGCAGCTGAGTTGGCATTTTTAATAAATTTTAAATTCTTTTTAATAAATTTTAATAATAAATTTTTATTTAAAAAAATTTTAAAAAAATAAAAACGACTTTATTTTATTTTTATTTAAATTTTTTCAATTTTTTTTATAAAATTTATTATTAAAATTAATTATTAAAAATTATTTAAAAATTATTAAAAATGCCAACTCAGCTGCCACGTAAGCAGGTAACCTGCTAAAATTGATGGTAACCTGCTATCCGGTGAAATTGCATACGTTTGGAGAGTTCAGTGGCCTAATTGCACGTTTTTGAAGTGTTCAGTGGCCTAATTACACTTTTTGTTCGTTCAGTGGCCTAATTGCATTTTCAAGTTACGTTCAGTGGCCAATTTGAACCTTATTCCTAATTAGTATTACACTCATAAGTATTAAGTTTTCCTTCTAAGTAATAATCAATTAATTTATTCATAATTAATATTATATATTTTTTTATAAATAATTATTCAACTCTTAAAATATTATATTATAATTTAAAAATATATTACAATTCCTAACAATCCGTTATCTCTTATTAATATTACATTTTTCATAAGTAATAAATTTGATCCGTCTCACAGACAAATATCCATGAGACAATTTCATAAGAGACTCACCTTTTTTTTTTTTGTATTGGATTCTTCTTAAACAATATAAGTTCAAACCACAAAGTTAAGAGTCTTTTAGTGGTACTATCTTCTCTTCTCCTAAAAATTGAATTCTCAATCCCAAGGATCCTCACATCTCTGTCCGACAGAGCATTTGGAACAATATAAATTACGGCGACTTGGTGCGCCTACTTTAGACATATAATCTCTACAGGTATGTATTCAAACTTTGAACTCTAGCTTCTCCCAAATATTATCTACTGAATTTGTGAGCTAAACTCGTACAAGATGACTTGATCCCTAATTATTCTTCTCAAATTTCACCACTATAATATGACCACTGTCCATGCAGGCGCATGATTGACATCATAACATTACTGTTAAGTGTCGATTCGGGACATAGAGTACGTGGTCAATCTTGTTCTGCGTATATACTGCATGCAGCTGACTTTTCTGAGTAGTTGACTTGACCCAAACAAGACGATTCAGATTTCATCTTCTTCCATCCACCCTGATAAGTTCACATATCAGGAAACTCCGCAAGAAACAAACCAATATCTATCTGATGGTACATACCTCTCTCTCTCTATTTATATATTCGTCATGGAGTAGCCATTAAGAAGGTTTTCCTTTACTGTTTTCTGTGTCAATTCCTTCATTATTTTCTTCTATGTCCTGAAATTGCTATAATTAAACTGATGAAGCAAGAGAGCTTTGCTTTTACCTCTGATTTGACTAACCTTTGGTTTACCAAACAGGAGGCTGCATGTATGTATATGAGTTGAAGGTTGTAAAAGTAAGGTCAGATTAAAGGAAGTGGTAGCATGACTTGTTTCCCTGTCTGTTGCAGAAGGAAATCGTCTCCCCCGAGGCATCAAATCGACATTGAAGAAGGTATGTGCATCTCCCAATTCTTCATGACCCAACTACTCAGATATATATGATGCCAGTAATATATATGATGATTATATATCTTGAAATTGACTACATACAGAGGTTTCAAGCATTCAGAATGCTAAGGTGTACAGTTACAAAGAACTGTGTTCTGCAACTGGAGATTTTAGCCCTTTGAACAAGATTGGAGAAGGAGGGTTTGGTGCTGTCTACAAGGTTTGACCTTAATTAGCTTTTTGATTCTTATATGACTGCAAATTTTGTGGTTTTTCTCGACTGTGGTGATCGAAGCTGTACTGTTTGTTTGATTGGTAGGGGAGGCTGGGTGATGGCACATTAGCTGCTATTAAGGTGCTTTCTGCTGAGTCAAGACAGGGGGTGAAGGAGTTTTTGACAGAAATAGTGGTTATCTCAGGTTTAGAACATGAGAATCTGGTTAAGTTACATGGATGTTGTGTAGAAGGGGAGCATAGGATATTGGTCTATGGCTATCTTGAAAATAATAGCCTTGCTCAAACTCTTCTTGGTGATTACCCATTTCTCTCTCTCTCTCTCTCTCTCTCTCTCTCTATGGCACCAATCATTCATCATAAGCAGGCCTTTGAACATATAGAATTGTGGTTTGTCTGTTACTTTCCATCTTTGTGGTTGAGAATTCATGACTGATGATGACTACTACTTCATTGATTTATAGGGTCTGGGTCCAGTGGCATTCAGTTTAGCTGGAGTGCTCGGGCTAGAATATGTATAGGGGTTGCTAGGGGACTTGCATTCCTCCATGAAGAAGTCCAACCACATATTATTCATAGAGATATTAAAGCCAGCAATATTCTTCTCGATAAAGATTTCACTCCGAAGATCTCGGATTTTGGGCTTGCAAAGCTATTCCCCCAAGGTTTGACTCATATCAGCACCCGTGTTGCTGGAACTCCGTAAGTTCATGTTCTTAGGCAAAGATCCCTTTGAATTGGTGGCATGATGGATTCATAAGTTGACATGCTTAATATGCATTTGGTAATGGTTGCAGGGGTTATTTGGCTCCCGAGTATGTGATTCGTGCCCAGTTGACAAGGAAAGCCGATGTTTATAGCTTTGGAATTCTCCTTTTGGAAATTGTTAGTGGAAGATCAAACACTAACAAACGACTACCTGTTGACGATCAATATCTTCTTGAAACGGTATAAGTTTTTGCATGAATTTATGAATATTTTCTAATGCAAAATATGGGTGGGCCTCTGTTTACACAAATTTCATGTGCAGGCGTGGAGATTCTATCAGAAAGGGGAGCTTGTTGAGCTGGTTGATATATCACTGGGAGAGAACTTCAATGTAGATGAAGCTTGTAGATACATGAAGATTGCTTTGTTATGCACCCATTTCATGCCCAATAGCCGACCATCAATGTCTAGTGTGGTGAAAATGTTGAGAGGTGAGGAAGATGTGGATGATACAAAGATATCGGAGCCAGGTCTGTTAACTGAACTGATAGGTTTCCGGAATCGAAAGAAAAAGAACCTGCAAATTTTATCTGCTGCTGGCTCAGGGAATGAAGATAAGTCGCCCTGGAATACTAGCATCTGCTCAACACAAGCAGCAACCATGACTTTCACCTCCATATCTGATCGGAGTACTTGAACTAAGATTTTTTATTTTTTTGTGTGTGGTAAGATATCTCATATCTATGGTGTTCCAAATTGAAGAACGAAATATATATAGACACAGTTGATTTTTTATACACCTTTATTTCATACCGAACTGGTTTTAATTTCATCTCTGTGATTATAACTCAGCACAAAACAGGACCAACAAAAAGACTTGAAACAGGGGAATTCTAGGACTAGCTTTACGGATGCACAAAAACCATCCCCTTGGCAAGCTCTAGGGCTGTATCGCGCCCGAGAAACTTTTCTACAATGGCCAGTGCAAACTCCATTGTAGTTCCTGGCCCTCTGCTAGTGATGAGATAACCATCAACTATCACCCTGTTATCTGCTTCGCTTGGGTCAGATAGCTTATTGCACATTGCTGGATAAGCTGTAGCCTTCTTACCCTGAAAATAGAATCAAATCAGCATATCATACTCTTTGCTTGGAAATACAAAATGAGGCATGATGGCAGTTTATGTGCATTTGAGCATTATCTGTCAATGGATAGTGACATCCATTGACTTCTGTAGAATAAATGTACCTTGAGCAAACCATGTGGTTCTAGGACTAATGCAGGAGAAGCACAAATTGCTCCATATGGTTTGTTTGATTCTCTCTGCTTTTTCAACATATTGACCAGTTTTTCTGAGTTTGCAAATGCTTGAGCACCACCCAGACCACCCTGCATAGTATTTATATATGAGGAATTGCCCATGTAAGTAACAGAATATGATGAAAGGCTTTGCACTTACAGGCAAGACAATAAGATCATATGTACTCTTAGCAGCATCCTCAAGCAGTACATCAGCAACCAGTTTCACATTCCTGGAAGCAACAATCTCCAGTGAATCGTCTACAGATGCCACCACTACTTGAGCTTTAGCTCGTCTAAGTACATCAACAATAATAAGAGCTTCCATCTCCTCAGAACCATTAGCAATGGGTACAAGTATCTGAAGAGAGTGAATTAAGTCATAAATGTGCAGGATTTTACAGGTGTTATTTAAGTAAAATTACATAATAGGACCCTTTACATAGAATGTATCTGGTAGCAATGTGAATTAAAGACTCACAATAACATTTCTGAAAACATCAATAACTTCATTCCGGAATATGGAAACAAATTTATCTGCCACTAATATCTTACCTGTGGGCTATTGGTAACTGTCCAATTTACTGAATTGAGTTCGGCAAATGTATATTCATCACCGTGCTTAGGGCGCATCACCTGAATGGTATGCAGAGATTGCACATCATGAATCAGCAGATTGCACCCAGTTGATCAGAGATAAACATGAAGCTTATGACAATTACATTTTTAGAAAATTAGGTAAAGAGGATATATAAAAGTAACCCATGCCCAAATTTTACAAGAGCAAACCAGGAACTAGAAGTAGCTAGCATGGTATAAAGTTCCAGCAGCATTAATTATTATCCAAAGGTAAACAACAATTCCACATACCAGTGGCCCTGAGACTTCATCAGCTTTCTCCTTTCCATACAATTGCTCAACTAGTGCAACAGCATACTCCATGACAGTTCCGGGTCCACGACTTGTCACAACATTGCCATCCACCTGCACTCTTGATTCAACAGCATTTGCAGAAGATGACAGCTGCTCCATGAAAGATGGGTAGCAAGTTGCCTGTTAAAAACAAAGGCACATAAGTCCAGATAAAAAATCCTCAATCCAAATTGGATGGCTTATGGTTTAGATTTTATCACATTGCCCCCATGTTTGGGTTTGTCAAACTGCTAAGTGCTGAACCTAAACAGGTTACAACCATAGTCTCTATGCATCAAAAAAGATCAAAACAATACTCCACAAAAAGGAATTCAATGAGTGGAAATTATTACCTTAAGCCCCTTCAACAGTCCCCACGATCCAAGAGCTACTGCAGGGGAGGCACATATTGCAGCATATAATCGTTTGCTTTCAGCCTGTTTTTTAATGATGCTTTCCAAAGTCTTGCAGTCTCTAAGTGTAGATGCACCAGGCATCCCTCCCTGTAATTCAATGAAACATTCCAGGAGTAACATACTAATCAGTAGGGATCATGTAAGACTGATCACTTCTAACACTGAAACACAGGCATAACAAGTAGCAGAATAGACAAGCAACATCATAGCTGTGGGGAATTCATATCAATCCACCAATAACCAAATTTAAGATCAGATAGACAGTAAGAAAACATTCAAGCCACATAAACAAGGTTAAAATAGGAATATTTTGAACAGCCAATATCCACAAGAACCACCAAACAGTCCCTACAACATATTAGAATGATAGTGAGCAGGGAGTTCAATCCACACAAGGTAACAATGCCAGCTCAATATAAATAATTAAAATATACACAGGTATATATGAACATAGTAAGCCATGGACTATACTGTATTAGAGTGTGAGGTCAAGGAGAAACATACAGGGAGAGAGATGAGATCAAACTCAGTATCGGCGCAATCAGAAAGGAGTGCATCGGCAACGATCTTGACTCCGTGTCCGGCATCGACTCGGAGCTCCTTTTCCACCGAAGCCACCGTAACTTCGGCCCCAGCTCTCCGCAGTATGTCGATTTGCACCACCGCCTCAATCGGCTCCGTCCCGTTCGCCACCGGCACCAATACCTATATTAAGAAAAACAAAACAAAATCAATTCACAAATTTAGGGAGGAAAAATGAAAAAAGCAAAAATCTAACGGTACCTTTTTAGCAGCAGAAGCCATGACTGAAATGGTGGCTGAGCCTGAGAGCGAGAAGCGCTTGAAATTCTCGCGATAATTTGATGGAGTGAGAAGTGAGAGATTTTGAGGGGTTTTGAATTTTCTCGATAGTGTTAAGTAGGGGGTGAGGTGGCAACGCAAATGTGGAATGGCAGCCACCATTTTAAAGAGCTCTCTGGAGATGCCGGCCTGGACGGGCTCGAGCCGCGGTCCAGAGAAGCTTTCAGGATGATAAAGCAAGCGCACTATAGCTGCTGGGACCCATCACTTGGATAGTTGGATACAAAACATTTTTAGGCTTTTGCCTCATGGGCTGGTTTGTTACAGTCTACTACAATATCACAGCTAGGCCCAACACCCTCACTTATAACTTTACTAATAATATTTTGTATTTTATATGCGCGATGCGCAAAAATATATGTCAAATATTAATATTTATAGTTGTAATATTTAATTATTTATAATTATAAAATTCATATTATATTAAAAGTATAGTTAATAATTTAGGTAATAATTATAGTATGATTAATATTATTAAAGTATTAATTTTAGATATGATAAATTAATAAATATAATTATGACAACATTTAATATATATACATACACACACACTAATCGAAGTTTAACGATGCAAGATAATTTTATCTGATAAGAATGATAGTATAATATTTGTAGTGCAATATACAACTCAATTAGCATAGAAATATACATATAAATCATGGGTAATAACATTGGTTCACTCTTATCTACTCAGTCATATGGAAAAATAACATTTCAAAAATATTAATGAGAGTTTACAATATGAATAATTCACATATATATGATTGCAGTAGGCGTTAGTCGGGCGGTAGAGTAGCGTCTAGACGGCCTAGGCGGCTAACTAAAAAAAAATAGTGCACATGTGTTGGTGTATATGTCATATATATATATATATATATATTATTAGGTTCAAATGTGGTTGGTGCGTTCAGGTGCGGTTGTGCGGTGAGAGGAGAGCCATTGATCTTGTTAAAATCAACGTTCAAGATTAACAATTTTTTTTTTTAAATGTGGTGGTAATTTGGTAATTTTTGCATCTATGTCAATTTTAAGGTGCATGGTTTTCCTTCTTAAAGTATGTGTTTTTGTGTTTAAGGTGCGTGGTTTTTGTGCTTAATGTGCGTGATTTTTGTGCTTAAGGTGCGTGGTTTGTGTGCTTAATGTAAGTAGTTGTTGAAACTTAAGGTGCGTCAACCTGAAACTTAAGGTGCTTTGTTTTTTTTTTTTTTTTTTTTTTTTCAAATACCGCCATCATCATTTTAAATCAGCAAGCAAAAGTTAAAACATGTGCAATAAGTTCTTATGGGTTTCGCGCGCTCATAAATAGCATCGCCAACCTTTGAGAAGCTCAATGAGACCATCGCCCACAATTAAGGGCATTCACATAGAAAAGAGTTCCAATTCAACCTCATCATATTCGCCGATGATAGGAGATACCGTGGTTTGTGTACTTAAGGTGCGTCAACCGCACAATCGCACGAGAAGCCATCAGCGCACATGAACCCTTCCATATATATATATATATATATATATATATATATATATATATATATATATATATATATATATATATATATATATATATATATATAATGATAAAAAAAATAACAAGGTCGAGTCGGTCGGGTTAACTCGCTAACTCGATCGAAATGGACGAGTTAACTCGACCGAGTTAGGCGTTAGGCGGGTGCTTAGGATGAAAATCGACATATCCTAGGGGCGCCTAACGCCTAGACCGAGTTTTGTAAGCATATATAACAACATTAGAGTTCTCAATCAAAGACTTATGAATTTATATGCTATAACATAATTGCATAACTCTTTAATTAATATTTAGCAACATCAGTAAGTTTATTATAATCATATAACTTTTAATAAAAAATAATTTAAATTTTATTTACTTAATAATATCGCATTGAGTAATTTATTTTAATATGAAAACTAGTAATTTACTCGTGCGATGCACATGTTTTATTTGTTAAATATATATCTAAAAACATAATATGTGCCAATACAAGTTATGTCCTTGATTTTTGTCCCTTTTTTATATGCTAATAAATATATACATTTTGCTTTAATTGTTGTACATTTTATTTGTATTAGACAAAATCACCCTTACACCGTTATAACACCGTTAGTATTTAATATATCCACCAATATTACCATACACCTACATCTATCATATCTTTTTTCCTTTTTTTTTTTAATTATTATTTTATTAAAATTATCATATAACAATTAATTTAATTATAAATTATATTTTAATTAAATATTTATATGAATGTTAAATTATATATATATATATATATATATATATATATATATATATATATATATATATATATATATATATATATTGTTTTCATCACTATATTATTCAAATATATGATAATTCAAAAGTATCATCACTTTAAGGAATTGGCGAAATATAATTTTAACTAATTTTTTAAATTTGGTTACTTAACAATATTTTAATATTGGGCATAGATTTGTGCGCATCGCGCGTACAAAATGCTAGTTTAAATAATAAAGTTAAAGGTGCAAGTTTTAAATAATTATAATAATTAGAAGTGTATAATTTTGTTGGTTTATAAAATAAGTGCAATAGTATCAATAGATATGTAGAGAAGATAATAAATTTAATAATGTAACAACTATAATATTAAAATATGATATTATAATTGATAGTACTAATACACGTGGACTAAATGACTAAACCAAGTGACCTAGCTCGACGTTCGACCAAGTGGTGATTGGGACCCTCTGAGTAGGTGCTTAACGCCGGTGCTTTGGCACCGCCTGCCGCTGACACGTAAGGCCTTGCGGGATGGGTTCAGGTCTTGATCAATTTGCTCGGGAGGCGGTCGGGAAGAACGTCGGTCGGGAAAAAGACAATCAAGACAGTATAAATCAGCATCGGTCGGGGCAACAGAGCGGCAATCGGGAGTTACGTGGCGCTCGGGCGTATAACCTATCAATAATGATTTGAAATTGTTACAAATTTGGAAAAACTTTCCTGTATACAATATTTGCTGTTGAAGTTGTTTTGTTGCTGTAACTATCACAAATCAATATTTTCAATCCATTTTGAGTAGCGACCATTGAAACTGCAACATATAATTGTCCATGACTAAAGACATATTTTTTCAAGAATAGGCCTACATGAGAAAGCAATTGACCCCGGCTCTTATTAATCGTCATTGCATATGAGACAATTAAGATAATTGTCTTCTCTGAAATTTAAAAGGCAATCTCAAGTCCGATGGAGTTAATGACATTCTTGGTGTCAGTACTTTCTCACCAGCACTGCTTCCAGACAATACATGCATTTGCTTACAGAACCTGGTTTCCAAGTTTAGTAATTACCAGCATTATACCATTGCATAAACCAATTGAGTGGTCAATGTTTCGTAAGAGCATAACCAGAGTGCCAACATTTATGATTGGGTACACCTAAACACTTAATCCCACTTAAAAATTTTGGAGTATGAACGTTAGCTAACATATCAACGTTAGAATCTGATTTGCAAGTACTATCGTATCTCAAATATGTACTTCCTTCAGACGTGTTTAGAGAACTCATATATTCATTTATAGAATGTACCACGTCAATGGTTGGTGCCAATATGGCCCTATTTTGTAAGTAAGACGGATCATCAAGTAAATGTTTGAATGCATTTACTGGATGCAAATATTTTAAAAATACAATAATTGGAAAAAATTAAATTAAACATTGAACACTAAATATTGTAAATAATACCATTACAAAATTTTTAAATCATAGGTAAAAAACTGAGCATGATAGTGTAAGAATGTATGTACTGGATGCAAAATATCATTACAAATTTATTAGTAGACCGTAATCATTATTATCAATGATTGTATAATTTCATGAATGATGCAAAATATTATTAAAATTTTTAAAAATAAGCATATTGTTACACTGAGTCCATTAAAGAATTTTAAATTGAAATAAATTACAGTAATATTGATTACGATAATAAGAAAAAGTAAAAAAATCAAACGCATATAACTCCAATTCTTCCATTCCTAAATTATAGTAATTTAGGAATGGAATAACACAAAAGTTATTTATTACATGATTATTTATAAAAATTTTAAAAATAAGCAGGATTATGTATAACATGCATATACTGGGATAATGTTTGAATGAATGTATATACTGGATGAAAAGATTGATTACAAATTTATTATTTGATCGTAATCATTACATCCAAATAATGATTTTATAATCTCTTGAATGCATGTACTCAATGTAAAATATGATTAAAAATGTTAAAAACACAATAAATGGAAAAAAAATTTAAATTAAACATTGAACACTAAATATTCTAAATAATACCATTACAAATTTTTTTAATCCCGATTAAAAAACTGAGCATGATAATGTTAGAATGCATGTACTGGATGCAAAATACCATTACAAATTTATTATTTGACCCCGTAATCATTATTATCAATGATTGTATAATTTCGTGAATGATGCAAATAGCATTCAAAGTTTTAAAAATATAATATCTGGAAAAAAAAAAGTAAATTAAACATTTAACAGTAAATAAGAATAAATAATACATCCACATCTTCTAGAATAGATTCTAAGGTTGTTGTGGTATAAGCTCCTCAATTGTTCTTGACCTCGTACAGTCAAATCAACCGTACCCTTATTGCCCACACAGTACTGTATGCGTTTATGACATTGAGTTGAACAAAAATTGAGGTCATTACGTGCATATTATTTGACAATGGCTAAAACAATAACATATACAATGGTAGAGGCACGGTGAATAATTGTGGTGGTGGATGCACGGTGAATATTTTTGAGAATGATTGTCTTATATAGTAGTAACGAAAGTAAAGTAAATAAGGTAATAACATCATTATTATTATTATTATTATTATTATTATTATTATTATTATTATTATTATTATTATTATTATTATATGGAAAAATAGCACTTTCTCTCCGTGAGTTATATACTTATAACACTTTCTCTCCGTGAGTTATATACTTGTAGCACTTTTTCTCCCTGAATTATTCAAGTGGCTGTTTTTCCCCTGAAATTTGAAATGGACATATTTACCCTTAAGATAAATATTTCATTTATTTTTCTTCTCCAACAAATTATGTTCACGATTTGGTTCAAATGGAACGGACACTATAACAATCAAACCGAAATATTTTAATTACAATTTAGAACGAAACCCGATATTTAGAGTTTATTAAAATCGCGAACCGGAACAGTCAGTTCATGTTCCGAACAAAAAATAAATAAAATATATTTATTGTTGAATTTAGACTATTTTAAAATTTAAAAAATAAAATTTTAAAATAAAAACGGTTCAAAAATCACGTCCAAATCCGGAACCGTCGGTTCACGGTTCAAGATCCAATTTTTTTGATTCATAATTTTAATAAAGTGGAATCCAAATATTGGATTTTGGATCTGAATCGTAACCGGAAATTTTCAATTCGATTGCTATAGTGTCCGGTTCAGTTCGAACTAAACCGTGATCATCGCTACGTATACGCAATAATTTGTTGGAGATGAAAAATAAATAAAATGTTTATTTTAAGGGTAGAAATGTCAATTTAATATATCAGGGAGAAAATCGCCGCTTTTAGCATAATTGATGAGGACTAATGTGCTTACATGAATAATTCAGGGAGAAAATGTGCTATTAACATATAATACAGGGGGAAAAGTGCAATTTTTCCTATTATTATTATTATTATTATTATTATTATTATTATTATTATTATTATTATTATTATTATTAAGGTAAGCAATTAAGACGTTTGACTGTTAGCTTATTATTATAGTAGTAACGTAATAACGTGAAAGGATTGTAAGCATATTGGAGAGGATTTAATAATAATAATTATTATTAAGGTAAGTAATTATGGAGAGGGTTGGAAACATATTTTATTCTAAAATAATATTTTCGTAATCAATAAGTAACTAATTATGGAGATAATTGCCAGCATATTTTCTTTGTCAAAATAATATTTTTGTAATAAATTAACCTTATCATATTTTATTCCAAAATAATATTTCCGAAATCAATTAACCGTCATAAGTTTTTGGATACTAAATAAATTAGTAATGATTTTTGTATTTTTTATTTTTATATTTTACTCTATATTATATCATTTACTTTTCCTAAATACACACGCACTCCGTCAATATAAATTTTATTAACAAAATATTATGTTAACTATTTATTATTTTTAACTTACTCATTAATCATATTGATTTTCATAATGAATATCTTAAGTTTGAACCACATCCTAATAAAAATTGACATAATTATTAAACATATATGTTAGAGTCTATTAAAAAATATACAATATAAAATTTAACATGAACTTTGGTCAATTAATTAGAATTATGCATTGGACATTGATGAAACGGTACACCTAATTTACATTATATATTCAACACAGATGAGAAATTATGCATATTATCATTGTCTTTTTAGGGAAGGAGGATTTAGTTCTATTTTTGAAGGTGCACTACGCCAAGACAATAAAATTACAGTGAAGCACACTAGAGACTATATTAAATTAAGAATTCATTTATGGCGAAATTGTCAACAAGAGATAACATGGATAACGTTAAGTAATAAGGTTTTGTGTAACAACAATTATGTTCGGGTACTATCATGCGAGAGTGTTTTCATATAAAACTGATATTGCATTATTTAATTTTTTGAAATATTTATTTTTATGGAAAATTTGATAATCTTGTATTGATATACGTTAAGATACCGTATGCTATTTTAATAAATTATGAAACGCTAATTTAAAAATACACATTAAACATTAGACTATTCGTGCAATGCGCGTGTAGTAACTAGTTTTTAAATAAGAATTATTTTGTTGTAATGAAAAAAAATCTGCAATATTTGGAATGAGCATGTTGTTGCTCCCTCACTTCTCCCGAGGGCAGCACTAAAAATGAGGTTAAACCTCTCAACAAAAAGAAACGGGGTTTAAGGAGGGCCAGGACCGGTGGGGGCGCCAACGGTTACAAAGAAGATAAGAACACAAAAACGAAAAAAGAATTCCTTAATGGCAATGACAAGGAGGCGAAGAGGGTGGTGTATTATGCCACACAGTCACATGGAAGAACGGGTAGACAGAGAAAGTAGAGGATTCATGCTTGAAATCTATTGTGCGTTGGCGGATGGATTGTAGCAATTTAAATTCCGGAATTTCCGAACCCAAATCCAAAGCGTTTACTCGTGAATTGCTTTGACTCTCAAATGGAATTAAACAAAATTGCTTTGACCCATTAAGGCTTCAATACATTGGATTTGTTTTCCATATATTCTCTGATTTCTCGACAACAATCCAGTCCTACATACACATGATCCATATACAAAGGTGAGCATTCCCTTCTCTTCAAGCGTGTGTGAGTTCGAATTCAAAAATAGTACAAGGTTCGAATCGCAAAGTAGGAGGAGTTTCTTCTTCCAAATTACGATCAAAATATATTTTCTGAGTAGGAAATCTCTTTCATTCAAAGAATCATTCTGCTCGATCAGTACAAACCGAGCTTCAGTGCATTTGTAGTTCGGATTAAAGATCAGTGGGCGGTTCTTAATTTTCCAATTCAACTTCAAGGTTGCTACTTTGATCATGATTTCTGGATTCATTTTATGAGAATGTATGAATTTCGTGCCTGATTTTGTTGAGTTTTTGAATTTCAGGAGGAGTTTTCGAGAAGGTGGTGAACTCCAGAGCTGAGTTTTCAACAAGGTAGCTCGCTGTTCTCTGCTTCTGTAAATAGAGTTCTTACTTGTACTCTTGAAATCACTGATTTTGGTTGGGAATTAACAGTTTTTCATACATGCTTGCCAATGTGACTGTTTAACTGCTTCATTTGCTGAATTTCTGAGTTGCAGCCATAATGTTAGATACATGTTTTCAAGCTGATCTCCTTTGTTTTTTTTTTTTTTTTTTTTTTTTTTGTAGCTCTATTCACTCATCAGTCTTTTATAGGTTCCTCTATACTCTTTTTGGGAATCTATTCCCATAATTGATAGTCTTGAGACTTGAGATTCTAGTTTTAGAAATGATCCTAATTTCAAGCTTGCAACAATTGGATATATAAATTAGCTTGGCTGTTTCTGCTCGCCAAATGACTGATTTTGGTTGAGAATTAACAGTTTTTCATCTTGATGTTGGATACATCATACATGCTTGCCAAATGACTGTTTTACTGCTTCATCTGCTGGATTTCTGAATTACGTCTTAATGATAGATGCATGTTTTCAAGCTGATCTCTTTGTTGTGTTTCCCTTTCTGTATGAGCCTTTTTATAGCTCTATTCAGTCATCACTTCATCAGTCTTTTTAGGTTCCTCTATGTTCTTTTTTTTGGAATCTTTTCCCATAATTGATAGTCTTGAGATTCTAATTTTGGAAATGATCTTAATTACAAACTTGCAACAATTGGATATATAAATTAGCTGCCTGTTCTCTGTGTCTTTAAAACTTAAACAGAGTTCTTACTTATACTTTCCAAATGACTCATTTTGGTTGGGAGTTAACAGCTTTTCATCTTAATGTTGGATACTGGAATGCCAAATGACTGTTTTACTGCTTCATTTGCTGAATTTCTGAATTTCAGTCTTAATTTTAGATCCATGTTTTCAAGCTGATTTATTTTGTTGTGTTTACTTTTTCAGTATGAGCCTTTTTATAGCTCTATTCCCTCATCAGTCTTTTATAGTTTCCTCTATGTTCTTTTTTGGAATCTATTCCCATAATTGATAGTCTTGAGATTCTAATTTAGAAGTGATATTAATTACAAGCTTGCAACAATTGGATATATAGATTAACTGGCATTTCAAATTTGCATCACTTCCAATTTAGAACTCATATCCCCAACAGCGTGGGTATGCCTAAATAATTTATCTGGGCTAGGCAGTTTTGAGTTTGAAATTTTTGGAACATTGTAATTGAATTGTTAATTTGGGCAGAAATTCTGATCTCTAATACATAATTCCTTTGCTAAACAGCATTTAACAACAGAATGTTTACTTCTTGTTGTCTTTTTAATTTAAAGTTCCTCCTTAGATGAATTGTACTCTTATTAGTTACTATGCATGAGTTCCTCATATGAATTTTACTCTTACGGTACATTTGTTTACTTTCCATAACAGGCAGTTACCGATATTTCAAGTAACGGAAAGCAGAGTCAATCTAGGTGAATCTTCATACTTCTTGACTGACAGATTCTGTTTATAATACTTGAAGAATTATGGTAGACCATGAGTTGATTGAAAATTAGGAAACTGTACCATATTGTCTCTATTGCTGAAGTGGCTGTACATTTGGTTAGAAACAAGTACTTCATAGTTCATAGTTCATAGTTGATAGTTCTATTATATACACACACACACACACACATAATATTGTTATTCCTTCATTGATTGAGCAATTTATTTATTTTTGGTACAACAGTAAAAGGAATGAAAACAAGACTAGTGGAGCAAAAGTTCCTAAACTAAGGTTCTTACGAATGAGAATAAAATTATGATGAATTATTCAAAATGTAGGGCATTTAATGCTTACTAATTTGAAATAGAAGATGAAAAAAATTCAAGCTTTAACTATTTGTCATAATTCTATGTTTGCATGTGTACCAGAGAGAAAAAAACAATTCCTTTTTGCCCCAAATTAATAAATAACAAGTTAATTCCACTTTTGGTTCTTCAACTACAGGTAAAATTCCTTCTTTGTTCTCTTTGTAGAGGAGTAGTTCCCCAACGGCCCAACTCCTGTTGGGGGGCCACTGACCAATCCTAACCATGAGGACCAAGATGAAATTCCACTTATAATTGCAGAACCAAAAGTGGAATGACATCTAAATTGAAAATTTTCCCCAATGTTTCCTTTTCTTATGCTACACTTAACCTGGGAGTTTTGCAATGATTTGGCGTTGGATTTGGTGTAATTATAAATTATAGTTTTTACTATCATGCAGAGGCCTAGAAGGCTAGAAGCGAAGATCACAATCACAAACTTCCGAAAATCTTTAAGGTACATTGAGAAGAGAGCTTATTTTTAACAATCTTCGGCTTGTCTGTAGTGAAGGAAATCTGGTCCACTGTAATATTATTTTATTAGGTCAGACTCACTGCAATTTGGAATACAGTAATACCAAGTGGAGATGTTGTTTCCTGAAGAAATTTACAATTTGATTGATGATGGATTTGAGGGGTCATTCGATGAACATCAAATTTTTACTGAGTTGTTCTTTGAAAATAGTGAAAGAAAAAAGAAGTGTCGTGTGACTGGACTTATCAATTTTGAATCTGACGACAGCAAAGAAACCACTCCATCATGCTTCCCAGACAGTGGGAATTCTGCATTTGTGGTGCATAAGGATTCTTACTGCAAAATAGAGGAAAGCTCCGGAGTAAAAAAGATTTGTGAGAAACGGTTGATGTCCTCAATGGACATCATCAATGGGCCTGCTCCAAAATATAGGAAAGTATCAGGGAATGAGAAAGACATATTGGATCTAAGTTCCTTGGCAGCTTGTGGATCTGGTGGTACCTCTGGGCAGAAAGATAGTTGGTTTGAAGTTTCGGTCAGTTCAGGGAATACTCCAACCTTAAAGGGAAGATCTGAGGCAGTCTTCAATAATCAAGATTGCAATACAACTTTGCTAAGCTGTGAAAAAAATCCATCTGCATATCTTGAGGAAGTAGCAAAGGGTTTTAATGTAAAAATTCCCAATCAGGAAAGGGCTATGTTGCAGAGGCCTGTTGCTTTTGATTCAAGCAGTTCAGATGATGTGCTGGTGGATCAGTCCCTGAAAACAATGTCCAAAGTTGTATCTTCTGACTCAAGCACATCACTTAAAAGGAAGGCCCAGAAGAAATCACAAATGCTGTCTGAAATGAAGCTGACAAATTTGGATCAACATGAGAAATTAGCGTCTGATTGCAAGTCCAGATTCTCTGAAATAAATAGAAAGGGACCATGTGGTAAAAGTGGGTCTGAGAAATTTAAGAAGTTCTGTCTAGAGGATGATGATCTTTTGATTTCAGCTATCATAAAAAACCAAACATCCAAATCTGCAAAGAACAGGCCCTTTGGTAAATCCAAACCTCTGAGAAAGCAGAAGAGCAAAAAAGGTGGTTGCAGGTTACTTCTACGAAGCCTTAATAGGGGTGGAAAGCACTTTGTAGAAGGGGCGTGGCCTTCTTTTGCTTTAAGAAATGTATTGTCATGGTTAATTCATTTTGGGGTAGTTTCTGTTGGTGAAGTAATCCAGTATCGGAATGTAAAAGATGATTCCGTTGTGAAATCTGGCGTAATCACTAGGAATGGCATACTATGCAATTGCTGTGGTGAAGTATTATCTCTCTCTAAGTTCAAGAGGCATGCTGGTTTGAAGCTGAACAAGTCCTGTTTGAATCTTTTCCTGGAATCTGGTAAGCCACTCATGTTATGTCAGCTTGAGGCTTGGTCAGCTGAATACAAGGCTAAGAAAGCAGGTCTTCAAACTGTACAATTTGATGGAACGGATCAAAATGATGATAGTTGTGGGCATTGTGGTGATGGTGGAGAGTTGATATGTTGTGATAACTGCCCATCTACATTTCATCTGGCATGCTTGTATGCACAGGTTAGAGTGTTAGACTTTTACTTGCTTACTATTTTAAATCACTCCACTAGCTTTAAATTTCAACTTTCTCTTCTATACTTTAAGCAATTAGTTGCTTAAAGTTTATAGTTCATCTGTCATCTCTGAAGTGTCAGGATACACTAAAGAAAACTTTTATTTCTCCCTAGAACCTAGCTCTGCTAAGCTGATCTTGTATTTTAAAACCCTGATGCTGCATATATCTTAACTAAAGGCTTGTTTGAAGACACAACTAAACTAAGATGGTAAACAAAGAAATGGCATCAACATGACCTTAGAACTATACATACCATACCTGTACTTTTTTAAGGCCTCCACTTGTTTTTTTAAATGTCTACATTTTGTTGGTATGGGCAAGTACTGATGGAAAGCTGAATTTTAATCAGACACAAACTCTTCGTGTGTGTGTGTATATTATAGTAATGTAGAAACACCTTTTCCTAGTCAGTTTTTAGTAATACTGTAAAGCCTCAATTATGTACATTAAATTCTTTGCTACTTAACCTATATTAACCTTTGCTGGATTTATTTTGAAAATATGCACCTGTTTTGGATGAAGGTGCATTTAATGCTTTATTTAAAGTGGGCAGCTTTTTTTAACCCCATAGTTGAACCACACTTGAAAGATTACAATGAAAACTTGTCCTAGACATCCCAAAAAAATGACAAATTTATTTATGGCCAATCTTTAATGGTGATGCATTTAGATTTTTTTAACAGTTTAATGATTGAGAGATCATGAAATAAATTCTGTGTTCATTTGACAGATTTATGATGTAGCCCTAATACTTTGATCACACGCCTGTGCTAGCAACAATTCCTTTTACTTCACAGTTTTATGTCTCGCTTTTTTCCCCCCCTCTTTTAAATATGAATTTTGGCATAAAGACGCTCTGTATAACTATTATGTGGTTCATAAATTCATATTGTTATTTTTGGCTTCAGGAAATTCCAGAAGGGAGTTGGTATTGTCCACGTTGCACGTGCCAGATCTGTAAGGATGTAGTTAAAGCTAGTGAGAGCTCTTCATCCTCTAGTGCAATGAAATGCATGCAGTGCGAACATCAGTGTAAGTGTTCCTGTGAAGTCGTGCATTACCAGATCTGCCTTGCATTATTCATGAGTCTTATTCTCTATTTATGGTTTTTTTTTTTCCTATTTTCATTTTATAGTAAATTGTCTATGTTGTTTTCCTTATCTTTTATTGAATTCCTGGGATATCTTGATAACTGTGAACAGACCACAAGGCATGCTTGAAGCAGAAGGGCTTCAAACGTGGAGTGGCCTCTGAAATCTGGTTGTGTGGTGAACGGTGTGAGAAGGTAAACATAATATTTTCTGTAGTATTTGATCTTGAGTTGTTAGTAAAAGGAGTTTGCTACTGTATGTCTTGAATGCAATAAACACTGAGATATGTTTCCACTGTGGCATATTTATTTCCTTTTTCATTTGATATGAAAAGGCTCAGTATATCAGTAAATGCTATTAAATTAGTCAAAGATTAATTTAGAAAAATGGCCAAATAGGCCACTGAACCAGAGACCAAAGTTCATTTGAGCCACTGAACCAAAAAAGAGTTCAAATAGGACATTGAACCAGAGACCAAAGTCTAATTGAGCCATTGAACTATAAAAAAGTTCAATTAAACCACTCAACATTCAAAAGTCATCCAATTTTTTCATATAACCGGTTGTTCCAAGTTTATTCAGGTTAAATTTTGAGTGGTTCATGAGATTTTATGCCACCAGCGATCAATAAAATAAAGAAAGTATTTCCACATCATATGTCAACAACTCTTATTTAATCCGCATGAACCTGAAACAACCAATTATATGAAAAAATTGGATGACTTTTGAATGTTGAGTGGTTTAATTGAACTCTTTTTTGGTTTAGTGGCTCAATTGGACTTCGGTATCTGGTTCAGTGGCCTATTTGAACTCTTTTTGGTTCAGTGGCCTATTTAGCACTTTTTCCATTAATTTATCAGCTTTTGTTTAAAAAAAAAAAAAGTTGTTGTAATCAAGGAATTTTACATATTTATGAGAATCTTAATTATAAAATACCCGTTGATGGGGATATTTTCATTTAGCTTTTGATCATTAAAGTAAAAAAAGTTGGGACATAATAAAAATCAATGTTACTGCACATCTTTCTAAATGAGCAACTTAGAATTTACAACTTTTAGTTATCATTTTTTATCTATCTTTTCAAACTGACCTATAATATTATGCAGGTTTACTCGGGTATTAATTCCCTTATTGGAGAAGTGCATCTGCTTCCTGATGGCTTCTCCTGGGCACTGTTGAGGTGCACCCCATACGACCAGAAGATTCATCCTGGTCAGCGGTATGTTGCATTAAATGCAGAATGCAACTCGAAGTTAGCAGTTGCCCTCACAATTATGGAGGAATGTTTTCTTCCAATGGTGGATCCTAAAACGGGCATAGACATGATGCCACAAGTAATCTACAACTGGGGGTGAGTGCATCTTGTGTGCTTACAAATTGAATCATCATCCCATGCTTATTTAACCAGGGAAATCTGAATTCTATAATCATCATCTAACCAGTGTACCAGGGTTCCATAGTTTATTTAACCAGGGAAATCTGAATTGCAACTTCATTATTGTTGATGATTTAAAGAACTATTTATAGATTGAAATATGCTTCTCTGCAGATCACAGTTCCCGCGCCTAAACTATCATGGGTTTTACACTGTGGTCCTGGAGCAAGATGATATTTTGGTATCTGTCGCATCGATCAGGTAACTTACAGTGCATGGTTCTTTTACTAAATATTTTACAACTAGCACGTAAAAGGAGGTGCAAACCCATGTTCATGGGATGTATTTACATAAAACAATAACTCCAACCAATAAAAAGAACCATACTGGCAGCTAGCTTGTGCAACTATTGTGCAAGTTATCTTTCCTTGAGTGATGTAAAAAAATTAATTGTTCTCAAAATTAGGAGTGGATGGATTTGACATCATAAAGTCAATTTATTATAATATATTTGCAATAGAGGGTTACCAAATTGAATCACTGTTCATCATACGCACTCAGATTCCTCTATTAGCTTTCTTTCTTTCTACTTGATACAATATGCTCTGTGAAGATTACCTCTTTAAGTTGATGTGGAAACAGGGTCCACCGGGCTACAGTTGCAGAGATGCCCTTGATTGCAACATGCAGCAAATACCGCCGCCAGGGAATGTGCCGGAGGCTGATGGATTGTATAGAGAAGGTATCTTTTTCTTCTGGAAAACCCAAATATCTTAAAACCATTCAGTAGTTATTCTCAAATTCCCTGGGGATTTTGATGTTTTAGCTTATGCATTATGTACTTGCACGCATTAACTTGATTGTGTCTCCAGATGTTGAAATCTTTCAAGGTTGAGATGCTCGTGATATCTGCCATTCCCGATCTGGTGAAGATGTGGACACTGGGTTTTGGTTTCTCACCCTTGGAAGACGAGGAGAAAAGGAGCTTGAGCAACGACAACCTGATGGTGTTTCCAGGAACCGTGTGGCTAAAGAAGCCTTTGTATGAAGCTCTCAAGGCTGACCAGCTGACAGGTGAAGCATTATTTTCTCTCTCTCCCATGTTTCTGTTCGGCATATTATCATAAATAATAAATAAATGTCTAATTCAACTATCAGTTTAGACTTTTTTAGAGGAGTCAACCCCACCCAAATAATAGACTATTAGTTGCTCAGGGTCCATAAAAAAGGAATTGGCCATTTGGGTTGTGCAGTCTAACTATCAGCTTCTGCTTTTAGTTGAGACGGAACACAACATTCAATTGTTTCAAAAAAAACTCTTTGCCTAGGAACCTTAGTAATCTGGAAAAGATGCACAAAACAGGATCAAAAGATGCTTCTTGGCCTTCAAAGGAAGTCGATGTGGGCATCGTCGGAGATCATTGTAAACTGAACCTGTCTCCTCACTGTCCCAGTGCTGGAATTGAAGGCAGAGATCCTGACAGAGAGGAATTGCAGCTTGGCAATGAAGGTGGTAATTGTCTACACAGACACAGTAGATGCTCAATATGCTCTACTGAGGTATCAGTAGGCAGCCAGGCTAGTCTTTTAGAGGGTCATTGAGACATGTTGAGTAGGGGGACTGGGGAGAAACAAATTGCCCAAATATGTTTTCCCAATTGCATTTTAGCCTGGAATGCATTGCTGTAAGCCTGTAAATGATGAATATTTATAGAGGAAATGAAGAATTAATACATAGAGCCTAATATTGTACACAATTTGGTGTTGACTCACTAACTAGATTAGATTGATTTTTAGTTACTAAACAAAGAAATATTAGCAAAACTACCATTCCCAATAGCTACCAAGGATCTTGACTTTTCTGTTTAAAGCTATCTCAAGAAGTTATAATGTTTTTTGGGGGGAAAATTACATTTTTGGTATTTCAATTATAGTGGCACATATTTAGTCCCTAGAGTATGTGTAACTATTTTTAATCCCTAAATTATGTGCAAAATGGTGAGTTCAATCATTGAAAGATCAAATTCGTCATTTTATTATGTGACATGTTGGTGGCAAAAATTATCGATTAAAATTGTTACTTTATGACTTGGGGGTTAAAGATTGTCACGCATATAACTCAATGACTAAATTTGCGCCACGGGTATAGCTGAATGAAAAAAAAAACACATTTTTTTCAAAAAATACTCAGACAATTGTTCAACCAAATTAAGAGAAAGCTACTCAAATGCCTACTACTTTCAAGCACCATTTTCTTTTTCACCTCATCGGAATTAAGAAGTATTTCCACATTTACGGCCCCTTTTTATTTTAAATACTCATAATTCTTTACAAGGTACTTAAACATTTTCAACCTAAAAAACCTAAGTCCTCACCACCGGAGTTCAAACCTATGGTCACCATTTGAAATAGTGGATCAAAGACTGTAATAGAACAAAAACAAAAAGAGTTGACAAAAATATGACACTTTTGAAAACGAGACGAAAATAGGAAAAGATACTTTGTCAAATGCATTTGTTATCAGATAATTTTGTTTTTGTTTTTAATTTTTTTTTTCGCGGTCAAACAGACACGCAAGTGGGACTTGTGTATCTGCAAATTTTTTTTTTTTTAAAGTTGGTCTCTGGTGATCAAACTGATCTTCTCCAGCGAGGGAGAAGGCGACCAATTTGGTCGCCGGAGACCAAATAGTGTGTAAAATAGAATACCACAATGAGAGCAAAAAAAATACGGAGTAATTTTTTTTTTTTCTCTGAGAAATTCATTTTTTATTGGAATAAGTTCTACATCCACCAAATTTTTTTTTTTTTTTTGAAAGTACATCCACCAAATATGATTTGTTTTTTTTTTCAAAATTTTGGGGAAAATTTTTTATTTCATATTATTGGAGACCAAAGTGGCATTAATGTATGCATTTTAGATATATTTGGGCTGGGAAACGTTATCTATTCTCATGCTGAAATATTAGAACTCTTTTATATAGATTCCTTTGACTTAAAAACACTTTTAAAAAACATACATTATCCATTTATTAAAAAAAAAAAATTATTAATGCTCTATGTTTTTGTTTTGTCAGCGTGAAAACATCTTAGTGAGGAGTTGCCTATTCAAGAATCAAGATGCTGACAGTATTGGAATGCAAATCAGGCACAATTGTTGACAGTATGTAAAATATAACATAGAACTGATAGAAGTACTAAATATATACACAATCATTGTTCATTTGTTATAAAATTAATCTTGAAACTTAATTGAAAATTGAAATCAATATTTCACCAAATTATAGAACACCGTACTAATAAATATGTACTACACTAAGCATGTAAACATGGAACGTTGATCTTATCTGAATCAATGGCTGAGATTACATTCGAGATACGCAATTCTCATTTACATTTGTGGTCAGTATTTTGAAGGAAAAAAAAAAAAATCAAATGCATTTGGGACATGCGTTTTCTGACCTCGAACGCATGTCCCAAATGTCTTTTTTTCTAAAATTGTCTAACTTTTCTGAGCGTCATGTTTTTAGAAATGCTTGATTGTTTTGTCACATTACAGTCGCCTCAAAGACCTTGGAGACCAAAGAGTTTGGGGTTGTGAATAAATCTCCAAGCTTGTTTCCCAAGAAGTGCAAGATTAAAGTCCCTTGTGCTCCTGCAATCCATACCTCCTTTCTTCGTTGGCTTACACAAATCCTTCTAACATCTCCAGTTAATTATTTTGTTGTATGTCTTACTACCTTAGCTTGTCACCAGATCGAAAGTGTTCAAAGTTGTCTCAATTTTCATACACATATATTTTGGTAAAAGGAAAATACTAATGCCATAAGAAAGTATAGCCTGCAAAACATTCTTAATAAGAACTTCTCTACCAGCCTTGGAGAGAAACATGTTGTTCCAACTATGGATCACGCTCAGCACCTTATCCTTGATAAAACTCAAGATCTCATTCTTTCTCCCATTATCAAGGATGGTAGCCCAAGATACTTACCCTTAACTGAACCAACATTAATATAGAGAATATCCTTGACTGCTTCAACAGAGACATCATCTATATTTTTGCTGAAAAAATAGAGAAGATTTGCTGAAATTAATGCACTGTCCAGACGCCAAGGAGAACTCTGTGAAAATCTCTTTCATTATATTGCCCTCCAAGGTGTTTGATGTACAAAACAAAAAGCAATCATATGCAAATAAAATGTGAGTGATCTATGAGGCACCTTGGTTGTAACAATGCCATGAATACCTCTCCTTTGCACTTTTTTGCTAATCAATGCACTAAGATCCTCCATCATATAAGTCATATGTTAGATTTCTTTTTCAATTGTGGTTTTTAAATTTTGACTTTTTGCATTATTTTCTCGTAGAAAATGGATCAAATAAGTCCATAAACTTTACTTGAAAAGTTAATTAAGTCTCTAAACTTTTAAAAATTGGAATTACACACTTTTAACATGTTAAATTAAAGCAAGTCCAAGAACCGGTAAGTGACATGTTATTACAGGTCATTTTAGTTTAGGCATCATATCCGACGACCGGCGTCAGTTGCCATCTACTAAAGAAGTTGGTCGCCTTATGCCGGAGAGAGCAATCGGAATTTTTGCTGAATATAATGTCTGAATTGAAATGACCTGTAATAAAAGGGTATTTACTGATTCTTGGGCTTATTTGATAAGATTCATTATTTTTTAAGACAGTCACAATCACAGCGTCAATAAACATTGCTTAAGTTAGACTTGAGTATATCATTCGATCCACATCAAATTCTTCAATCCACTATTAATGGATTGGATTGGATTGTATTAGATTAGATATGCATTCATGCTATAAGATTTTTTTAAATTCATTATTCCAAAAGGCTGAACCCCAAATTATGCTACACATTCATAATTTTTTCAAATTCATCTTTTTACGATAGAATGAGCGCAAATTATGATGTGTAACATGGTGCACACGGTGGTAAAACGACACCGTTTACTATGATGGAGTAACGGTGCCATTAGTGGCACCGTTTAACTCTACCAATTATTATTGTTATTTTTTTTTTTTTACAAAAACTCAAATCGACGTGTAACTATTGATATATAGTTATGAAGTTATGGATATATAATTATGAAGTTGTGGATATATATTTTTGAAATTATAGATGTGTAGTTATGCAATTATGGATATGGTTCTCTGTGAATAAGCACTTTAAGAATTCTGAATATGGAGATATGTAATTATGAATGTCTAGTTGTGAAATTATGAATATATGGATATAAAATTATGAATGTGTAGTTATTATTTCTGAATGTACTATTGTCAAATTATGAATATATAGTTATGTAATTCTGGATATATAGTTATGTATATATAGTTATGAAATTGTGAATATATCATATTATTTGAATACGAAAGGAAACCGCCTAACACCGTTAACGCCGATCTGAACAGAATTTTTTCTTTTTTAAATGAAGCGACGTCGTTTTGCATGGTGCACACGTTTGCACAGCATAACGATTGATATAATGAGGGTTCCGTATCCGCTCTAATCCACCTTTAACGATAGAATACGGATCCGTTACAATCCGCACCGCACTTATCCTACTCTTAGGGGTGAGAATAGGCCAGGCCCCTTGTAGGGGCCTACGTCCAGGCCTAATTAAAGCCTATCTAGGCCTAGGTCGTTTAGTAAAAAGGTCAGGCTTGAGCCAATTTTGAAAGCCTATTAAACTAAACAGGCCAGGCCTGTATTTACCAGGCTCGGCCTTCAGGCCTATAATATATATATATATATATATATATATATATATATATATATATATAATTACCAAAATCTAACTATCCACCTCCAAAATTTCATTCTAGATTATGATTCAACTATAAATATTATTGTTAATTATGATGTAAGTGCTTTTATTGTTTAATTTTGTATTAACTGTTCTTATTGTCACAATATTTCATAAAATATCGCAACTTAATTATGTGAGTTGATTGTTAATTATTTGTAAGATCATATAGGATAACAAACAATAATACAATTAAATTTATTTCTAAATATGTTAACGAGCATGTTGTAGCTGTGACTTGTTTTATTTTATTTTATTTTATATTTAATGCTAATATATTTGCATTGTGTGAATATACTTATGTAATTATGTATTAGTTTTGTATTAGGTATATTTCTTAAATTATTTAGATATATTTATTAAAATTTTTTAAAAAAATTAACATGTAGGATTTAAATAGACTCAAAGTAGGACTTACTTTGATGCCTTTTTAATTGCCTAAATATGAAACAGGCTTTTACTAATTGTAGACTCAAGCTTAAGCCTAACAAAAAACCTACATACAGACTCAGACCCAAGCCTAGACTTTAAATTTTCATAATCCAGGCCTAATTTTTTAAAAGCTCCGCCTATTTCCACCCCTACCTACTCTTCTTCCCGCAGAACGACGGCCCTGATCCTGTTTTTCATAATCACCCTCGCCGGTTTTGTTTTCGGGTTTATTTGCTATTTCGAAGCAGGGTTTGGGGTATAGATGTGAGTACATAAAACCCCGACCAGTCTCTGCTGTCTGGGATAGAAGCAGCGCGAGGATGAACAGTGGGGATGGCGTTGATGGAGAGCAGAAGAGACACAAAGCAATGGATTTTGTCGGGATCCAAATTAGATTGGGATCGTCTTCTCGGAGGCGGTCGCTCCGGCAGACTTGGTTTCCCTCACATCGCCAAGGGCTTCAGAAGTACTTTTTCCTCTCTGTATATTCGACTGTGTTTTTGTTTGTGTCTGCGTGTGCATTATTTCTGCATATACTTCTACTCCGCCTGCTGATGTTCATGTAATTTTTTCGCTTATTTTTCTTAAAATTTGGAGAATATAATGCGAAAGAACGCCATTTGGCACTGAAGTGGCAAAGAATAGATTCGATGTTGGATGCAGTGGATGTGCTATTTGAAGAATTGAATATCAAAATTGGTTGCTATTCATTGAATTTTGATTCATTATATATAAAAAATTATTCAGTGAGTTTGAGTTTTTCCTGAAGTTACATTTGGCCAATATAGTGTTGGTGAATTTGGAGCTTAGCTGAATTGGGCTACTGTTTTAGAGATAAACTCAGTACAAGCATCAGAGGAGCAAAGCTTGCTATGGAAATGCTTTTGTTTGACTAATTCAACATTGGCAGTAACAGGTAGAAATGGATAGATGAAAATAACTTTTTGATAAATACAAATTGGTAACTTATCATGTTGTTTTTCCCCTAATCTTCTCGTTGCTATTTAATATGATCCATATTTGTTATTGCCTTAATAATATATTAATATAAACTAGCCTTCCATCTAGCCTCAGGTAGATAACCTAGTAATCAGACACAAACTCATCGCAGGCGCTTGTGCGTGTACGATAGTAATGTAGTAACACCTTTTCCTAGTCAGTTTTTAGTAATACTGCAAAGCCTCAATTATGCACATTAAACTCTTTGCTACTTAACCTATATTAACCCTTGCTGGATTTATTTTGAAAATATGCACCTATATTGGATGATGGTGCATTTAATGAAGTGGGCAGCTTTTTTTAACCCCATAGTTGAACCACACTTGAAAGATTACATTGAAAACTTGTCCTAGACAACCCAAAAATTGACATTTATTTATGGTCAATCTTTGATGGTGATGCATTTAGATTTTTTAACAGTCTAATGATTTAGAGATCTCGAAATAAATTCTGTGTTCCTTTGACAGATTTATGATGTAACCCTAATACTTGGGTCCCACACCTGTGCTTGCTTTGTGGACAATTCCTTTTACTTCACAGTTTTATGTCTCTCTCCCTCCCTCTCTCTCTCTCTCTCTCTCTCTCTCTCTCTTGTCCCCTCTCTTTGAAATATTAATTTTGGTGTAAAGACTCACTCTTTGTATAATTATTATGTGTTTATCATTTTAAGCTTTCTCTTCAATGGAGTTAGAGGATATTCTGTTTGAAGATTACATGATGCACTGATACATTCATATTTATCATTTTTGGCTTCAGGAACTTCCAGAAGGGAGTTGGTATTGTCCATGTTACGCGTGCAAGATCTGTAAGGATGTAGTTAAAGCCAATGAGAGCTCTTCATCCTTTAGTGCAATAAAATGCATGCAGTGCTCAAACATCAGTGTAAGTGTTCGGTGTTCCTGTGAATGTCTTGCAGTATCAGATCTGCCTTGCATTATTCATGAGTCTTATTCTCTATTTATCGTTTTCTTTATTCTTTTCCTATTTTCATTTTATAGTAGATTGTCTATGTTGTTTTTCTTATCTTTTGTTGAATCCCTGGGATATCTTGATAACTGTGAACAGACCACAAAGCATGATTGAAGCAGAAGGGATTCAAACGTGGAGTTGCCTACTTGCCTCTGAAATCTGGTTATGTGGTGAATGGTGTGAGAAGGTAAACCTAATTACATAACGTTTTCTGTATTCTTTGATCTTGCGGTGTTAATATTGAAAGGAGTTTGCTACTGTATGTCTTGAATGCAATAAATGTTGAGATATGTTTCCTCTTGTGGCATATTTGGCTCTAATGCTCTATAATTGTTCCTTGAGTACATATGATCAATTACATAAACTAAAACCTCAGAAGATAGAAATGCTATTAAATTAGTCAAAGATTAATTTATCAGCTTTTGTTAAAAAAATGCTGTAATCAAGGAATTTTAAATATTGATGAAAATTTTAATTATAAAAGACTCGTTAATGGGGATATTTTCATTTAGCTTTTGATCCTTAAAGTAAAAAAGTTAGTCACATAAGAAAAATCAATGCTACTGCATACCTTTTTAAATGGGGTTTTTGACTGAAATGGGAATTTTTTGACAGTTGTGGACAAAAATAGGAATGCTTTAAATCTTGGACAACCCTAGGAAAAAAACTATTGGGACTTGTGCTTTTTATGTTGACCAAATAAAAAACTCAAGTCCAAAATGAGTTTCTACTTTTCCATTTTATTTTATTTTTTGAAAACATATACGGTATACCTAAAATGCAATTCAGACTTGGTTTGTACCACAAACGCAAGTTCAAATTGTATTTAATAAAAAAATATTTGTTTGGCTCAAGACTGACACATGTCGTATACTGATGTGACCAGCTTCAATAATTTTTTTGACAAAATTTTAAAATAAATTGTTTGGCTTGAGACAGACTGATCCACTATAATTTTATTTTATAAGGGTAGACACTTAGACTCACTGCAATTTGGATTACAGTAATACCAAGTGGAGATGTTTCCTAAAGAAATTTACAGTTTGCGTGATGATGGATTCGAGGGGTCATTCAATGAGCATCAAATTTTTACTAAGGTGTTCTTCGAAAATAGTGAAAGAAAAAAGAAGTGTCGTGTGACTCGACTTATCAATTTTGAATATAACTACAGCAAAGAAACCACTGCATCATGCTTCACAGAAAGTGGGAATTCAGCACTTATGGTGCACAAGGATTCTTACTACAAAGTAGAGGAAAGCTCTGGAGAAAAAAAGCATGAGATGAAAGTACTTTCCCGGAAGAAGCATGGTCAGCTGAGTAGGGGACTTGAAATTGGTGAAATCTTAAAACCAAGATCATCTAACTTTTAATGAAATTGGTGAAATAACTCTCCAACCAACAAAAAGAACCATACTGGCAGCTAGCGTGTGCAACTTCTGTGCAAGTTATCTGGCGTATTATGCAATTGTTTTGATTCTCAAATGGAATTAAACAAAAAGGTGGGCCCTTTAAGGCCTTAATACATCGGATTTTTTTTTCTTCTAAATATTCTCTTAATTCTCGAAAGTAATCCACTCCTAACCCAAATCCAAACACTAACCTGCGTTTACTCGTGAATTGCTTTGACTCTCAAATGGAATTAAACAAAATTGCTTTGACCCATTAAGGCTTCAATACATTGGATTTGTTTTCCATATATTCTCTGATTTCTCGACAACAATCCAGTCCTACATACACATGATCCATATACCGTCTAAATTACCCTATTTTTGCTGAACATTGCTCTGCAAAGGTGAGCATTCCCGTCTCCTTCAAGTGTGTGTGAGTTCGAATTCAAAAATAGTAGAAGGGTCGAATCGCAAAATAGGAGGAGTTTCTTCTTCCAAATTACGATAAAAAAACATCTTATGATATTTTCTGAGTAGGAAATCTCTTTCATTCAAAGAATCATTCTGCTCGATCAGTACAAACCGAGCTTCTCTCAGTGCATTTGTAGTTCGGATTAAAGATCAGTGGGCGGTTCTTAATTTTCCAATTCAACTTCAAGGCTGCTACTCTGATCATGATTTCTGGATTCATTTTTTGAGAATGTATGAATTTCGTGCCTGATTTTGTTGAGCTTTTGAATTTCATGGCGAGTTTTCGAGAAGGTGGTGAACTCCAGAGCTGAGTTTTCAACAAGGTAGCTTGCTGTTCTCTGCTTCTGTAAATAGAGTTCTTACTTGTACTCTTGAAATCACTGATTTTGGTTGTTTTTCATACATGCTTGCCAATGTGACTGTTTAACTGCTTCATTTGCTGAATTTCTGAGTTGCAGTCTGAATGTTAAATACATTAATTTTCGTGCCTGATTTTGTTGAAAATTTCATACTTAAAGGTTGCTACTCTGATGTTGGATACATGCTTGCCAACAAAAAGAACCATACTGGTGCCTGGCGGCTAGTGTGTGCAACTACTGTGCAAGTTATCTGGCTAGTTTGTGCAACTACTGTGCAAGTTATCTGGCTAGTGTGTGCAACTACTGTGCAAGTTATCTGGCGTAATTACTAGGAATGGGGTATTATGCAATTGTTTTGACTCTCAAATGGAATTAAACAAAAAGGTGGACCCTTTACGGCTTTAATACATCGGATTTTTTTATTTTTATTTTTTTCCATATACGCTCTTAATTCTCGACAATAATCCACTCCTAATACCCATAATCCATATACCTGTCTAAATAATCCTATTTTTGCCGCACTTTGCTCTGCACAGATGATCATTCCCTTTCTCCTTCAAGTGTGGAAGATGATGGTAAGATGTGGACTGACATGAATCAGTTTCAATCTGATTTTCTAGTGTGGTTACTGAAATTGTTACCTGGTTAACTTGGAAACTACTTCATTTGCCCATTTGTGGTGTCTTCTTCATTCCTTTGCAAATGTTGTATTCATTGTGACAAGGCATTACAATTTCTTAAAGCAGGAATGGCAGTGAAAGCAAGCAGAAGTTTTGCAAAGGATGTATAGACTGCAGGGGACCAGCCTAGTGAGAGAAATGTGAATGGTCATTGGTGCAACTCTTCTCTTGTTGCAGATAGTGTTTCTGATGATGATCAAAATATACACAAAGACTGCTTTGATTATGGTGTTCTGTCTCATTATCCTGAGAAACAGTTAAAGTCCTCAATGGACCTGCTCCAAAATATAGGAAAGTACTCCGTATCAGGGAATGAGAAAGACATACTGGATCTAAGTTCCTTGGCAGCTTGTGGATCTGGTGGTACCACTGGGCAGAAAGATAGTTGCTTTGAAGTTCCAGTCAGTTCAGCGAATACTCCAACCTTGAAGGGAAGATCTGAGGCAGTCTTCAATAATTAAGATTGCAATACAACTTTGCTAAGCTATGACAAAAATTCATCTGTATATCTTGAGGAAGAAGCAAAGGGTTTTGATGTAAAAATTCCCAATCAGGAAAGGGCTTATGTTGCAGAGGTCTGTTGCTTTTGATTCGAGCAGTTCAGGCGATGTGCTGGTGGATATTCACTCCCTGAAAACAATGTCCAAAGATGTATCTTCCGACTCAAACACATCATTTAAAGGAAAGGCCCAGAAGAATTCACAAATGCTGTCTGAAATGAAACTGACAAATTTGGACCTGACAAATTTGGTTCAACATGAGAAATTATCTGTCTGATTGCAAGACCAGATTCTCCGGAATAAATAGAAAGGGACCCTGTGGTAAAAATGGGTCAAAGAAATTTAAGTTCTGTCTAGAGGATGTGATGATCATTTGATTTCAGCTATCATAAAAAAACAAACATCCAAATCTGCAAACAACAGGCCCTTTGGTAAATCCAAACCTCTGAGAAAGCAGAAGAGCAAAAATGGTGGTTGCAGGTTACTTCTACGAAGCCTTAATAGGGGTGGAAAGCACTTTGTAGAAGGGGCGTGGCCTTCCTTTGCTTTAAGAAATGTATTGTCATGGTTAATTCATTTTGGGGTAGTTTCTGTTGGTGAAGTAATCCAGTATCGGAATGTAAAAGATGATTCTGTTGTGAAATCTGGCGTAATCACTAGGAATGGCATACTATGCAATTGCTGTGGTGAAGTATTATCTCTCTCTAAGTTCAAGAGGCATGCTGGTTTGAAGCTGAACAAGTCCTGTTTGAATCTTTTCCTGGAATCTGGTAAGTCAGTTGTGTTGTTAGCTAGCATGTGCAACTACTGTGCAATAATAAAGGAATGCGAAAAACATATTGGATCTAAGTTCCTTGGCAGCTTGTGGATCTGGTGGTACCTCTGGGCAGAAAGATAGTTGGTTTGAAGTTTCGGTCAGTTCAGGGAATACTCCAACCTTAAAGGGAAGATCTGAGGCAGTCTTCAATAATCAAGATTGCAATACAACTTTGCTAAGCTGTGAAAAAAATCCATCTGCGTATCTTGAGGAAGTAGCAAAGGGTTTTAATGTAAAAATTCCCAATCAGGAAAGGGCTATGTTGCAGAGGCCTGTTGCTTTTGATTCGAGCAGTTCAGATGATGTGCTGGTGGATCAGTCCCTGAAAACAATGTCCAAAGTTGTATCTTCTGACTCAAGCACATCACTTAAAAGGAAGGCCCAGAAGAAAGCACAAATGCTTTCTGAAATGAAACTGACAAATTTGGATCAACATGAGAAATTAGCGTCTGATTGCAAGTCCAGATTCTCTGAAATAAATAGAAAGGGACCATGTGGTAATAGTGGGTCAGAGAAATTTAAGAAGTTCTGTCTAGAGGATGATGATCTTTTGATTTCAGCTATCATAAAAAACCAAACATCCAAATCTGCAAAGAACAGGCCCTTTGGTAAATCCAAACCTCTGAGAAAGCAGAAGAGCAAAAAAGGTGGTTGCAGGATACTTCTACGAAGCCTTAATAGGAGTGGAAAGCACTTTGTAGAATGGGAGTGGCCTTCTTTTGCTTTAAGAAATGTATTGTCAATTTGTCATGGTTAATTCATTCTGGGGTTGTTTCTATTTATGAAGCAATCCAGTATCGGAATCTAAAAGAGGCATGATTACTAGGAATTACTAGGAATGGAATATTATGCAATTGTTGTCGTGAAGTGCTATCTATCTCCAAGTTCAAGAGGCATGCTGGTTTCAAGCTGAACCATTCCTGTTTGAATCTTTTCCTGGAATCTGTTAAGTCAGCCGTGTTAGCTAGCATGTGCAACTATTGTGCAAAGAATATTTTGCGGGTTTACTCGGGTCTTCATTACAACTGAATCTGCTTCCTGATGGTTTCTCCTGGACACTTTTGAGGTGCAACTCACTGCAACCCTTGTGTTCAACCTCTTTTTTGAGTACGTTTATTAACTCTCAAAATAATTACAAGAAACTCTTATCTGTTATTAAGCATCTGTTCTACCATGCTATTGATAAATTCAATTTATGAGAGTAATTAATTATTTAGCCAATTAGCTTGACTTTGTGAGTTACTTCACATTTCATAGTTTGTTTAATTAGCATGTCAATGTAATACAACTCTTTTGACTTCACTCCATTGATGAGACATTAATGAAGGTTTAGTACAGAAGGCAATGGGTCATTGGGTTGAAGATGAAGAAGGATGAGGTTCACCAAAATGTCCTAGGAGATTTGGAATTTGTGTTATTTACCCGTTAGAGTCATAAGATATACTTCATCCAAAGTTTATAGGTAACAACGATTGATTTTCTTGTAAATAAAATAAATGTCTATTTATCTAGTGCATAACTAAATTATCATTGATTATGTAAAAAAGAACAAAGACAAGTATAAGAAGAAAATATGTTCCAAGTTTGATTCTCAATGGGAGCAACTTGATTTTCTTGATTTGAGTTGGTCAGTTGGAGGCAACCGAGTCAGATTTGCATTTTTATGATCCTTTACCGATTATTGTCATAAAGCGTGCTTTATCTAACGCACACCATAAAATGTTAATTGCACGTTTTTCTCATTATCCTAAACAAAAAATGTATAGCAGAATACTAAATTCAAACACTATCCTTACGTTAATTACTGAACATAATCGAAATAAAACCAATATAATACGTTAATTACTAAATGGGGCTATTAAAATATTATTAGCAAATTAAAAATTACTATAAACGTTGAGTGTCACAAATAATTTTGTTTTCCTTGTAATCAAGCTTATACGGAGAATTGTATTCTCATTCTTAGTGTGTAAATTTATGAACTAAACGCACCTTTAATAATTTTTAGAAATTAAAATAAAATCATTTACCAAAAAAAAAAGAAATTAAAATAAAATAAAGCCATTCTCTTTAGGTAGAATAGGATTGTTAATTCCAGCCTAACCTATAGTCGTTCATACCAAGAAGAATGAAACTAACTACCTACTTGTTCTGCCTACTTTAGTTGTCTTATTTATGGTTAATTGATCAATTAATTAATTAATTATTTTTAAACATTTTTTATATATAATAATATATTTGAAGGTAGTTTTTAAATATATAAATTCTATATGTTAATAATAAAGTTAATATAATAAAAATTTAATTTGTAAATAATTTACTTTAAATCTCATTAACATAACTATTTATATAAAATGAGACGAATATAATATATTATGTTATTTTAATATAATTTGTTACTATTATTTAGTTCGAACATATCATTTAATTTAGTATTAAAATGAGTTTCATGTAAAAAATTTTACATTTTTTGACTTCTGAAGGGTATGTGAATTACATATATTTTGTTTTAGCAAATTGTGAACAAAATAGGGGAAGGAATGAAGGATTGAGTGAATAAGAAAATGCACAAAGTCAAAAAAATAAAAATAAAAATAAAAATTGGCAGTTATAAAAATGGAAAATTTATATCAAAATTGTACAAGCATTAAATTAAGCGTTTTTATAAAGAGCAGAAAGAAGAAACAGAGGAACAGTCCATGTAGTGGAGGAATGCAATTTGGAAGTTAAACTCTAATGAGCTCGGAATTTGAAGAATCAGATACCTGATTTGCTATTTCTGATTTTGAATCCGAGAAATCTGTGGCATTTGATGAGATGCCTTCATCTCCCAAGTACTTCACTGCCCGCCCTTTAACCTACTCCTCCTCTTCCCGCAGATCGACGCCCCTGATCCTGTTTCTCTTGATCGGCCTCGCCGGTTTTGTGTTCGGGTTTATTGCTAGTTCGAGGCAAAGTTTGGGGCATAGATGCGAGAACATAAAACCCCGATCAGTCTCTGTTGTGTGGGATAGAAGCAGCGCCAGGGTGAGCAGTGGAGATGGTGTTGATGGAGAGCAGAAGAGGCACAAGGTAATGGGCTTTGTCGGGATCCAAACTGGCTTCGCATCAGCTGCTCGCCGCCGCTCGCTCCGCCAGACTTGGTTTCCTTCAGATCGCCAAGGCCTTCAGAAGTACTCTTTCCTCTCTCTCTCTCTCTCTCTCTCTATTCGACTGTATTTTTGCTTGTATCTGTGTGTGATTATGTCTGCATTTACTTCTACGCCGCTGCGCTGCTGATGTTCATGTACTTTTTCCGCTTAGTATTACGGAGTATTATTATTATTTTAATTTGGAGAATGTAATGCGAAAGAACTCCATTTGGCACTGAAGTGGCAGAGAGTAGTTTCAATTTTGGATTCAGTGAGTGTGCTATTTGAAGAATTTAGATACCAAAATTGGTTGATTTTCATTGAATTTTGGTTCACTATATATTAAGGAGTAGTAAATTGGGCAATGTTTAAGTTGATATGGTAATTTAATCTTAATTGTGAATTTTTTTTCGCTGGAGCCCTTCTCAAGAAATTTATTCAGTGGAAGTTTGCAATACTGATGGAAACATGTATGACCTGGATTTCTATTTTAATTGAGAGGTGATGTTAGGTATATTAGATCTGGATCGAGTGACCTTTTCCGAATTGTTGAGTATAATCCATCTGATGCTATTGTTATATAGCTTGTACACGTATAATGCTTCGTTTAGTAAGTTTTATGGATTAGTTGAGCTCTTGAACAAACGAAGCGGAAGAGAAAGATGGTGATGAATTCATGCTTTCTTTCAGTGGTTTGTTGTCCTTCAAGGGGAAGGGTAGATGCTTGTTCTAGAAATGATAATATCACCCATCTTGTACTTATTTATGCAATATTCTTTTATGGCTTAAAAGTTGTTGCATTGCCCACCTTAACTGTAAGTCTATACATGTAGTCGTACCATCCAAAATATTGTGCAGTGTGTTTAATTCTTGTTGGTAATGGGAACCTTTTGGAGGAATTTCAGGTTGGAAGAAGCCACTGGTTTGGCTTTTAGGTTTATAATTGGTAGAACTAATGATAAATCAAAGATGGCAGCGCTCAGAAGGGAAATTGCAGAGTATGATGATTTTGTGCTGTTAGACATTGAAGAAGAGTATAGTAAGCTCCCATACAAAACGTTAGTTCTGACTAATCACATCGTATTTTTCACGATCTTATTTATGTGATTTGAACTGATTTATCTTTCTTTTACAGTTTAGCTTTTTTCAAAGCTGCATATGCGCTTTATGATTCAGAATTTTACGTCAAAGCTGATGATGACATATATTTACGACCAGGTTGCTACTTTATGAAGTTTATTGATGATTTTTTTTAATGTTAGAATATTCACTTCATGTTACCTTTTTACATTTCAAGCAAGTAAATTCTTTCTTTTTTTTTTTTAATTAACAGATCGCCTTTCATTGCTATTGGCCAAAGAACGTTCTCACTCACAAACATACCTTGGATGCATGAAAAAGGGACCAGTTTTCACTGATCCCAAACTCAAATGGTTTGTCACAAAATGGTTGCCTATAAGTTTGCAGTAGCTTCGGTGAATGTTTTACTGTATCCGTTAGTAACTATTCATGCAATTTTCCTGTGACATTCATGCAGGTATGAACCATTATCAAATTTGCTTGGCAAGGAATATTTCTTACATGCTTATGGTCCTATTTACGCTCTTTCTGCGGATGTTGTTGCTAGCCTGGTCGCACTGAGGAACGACAGGTGAGTTTTCCCTGATTCCCCCTGAAGTCTACGTTCAGCCAATATCTGGCCTCAATCTCTTATCATCACCAACACTAGTTTACTTTTCTCAGATTTAAACTCATAGTGATTAGGAAGAATACATGTTTGTAAACTTTCTGATGTTCTCTGAGCAAGGAGATTATATTATTTCTTATTGAGAATTGATTAAATGTGGCTTTGCTAAGCATAAATTGAAATTCTGTTTGTAAATTTTCAGTTTCCGAATGTTTAGCAATGAAGACGTTACTATTGGTTCTTGGATGCTTGCGATGAATGTCAACCATGAGCATAATAAACGACTATGTCAAATAGAGTGTACTGGCACATCTATTGCTGTGTGGGATATTCCAAAATGTTCAGGTTAGTATTATGATCCACTTGACTACAAGTTGAGCATTCGGTGATAGTAGGTTGGTAGCTGTTACAATGCTTTCCTGCTGCATTGCATATTATAAAGATATAAATCATTTTCTCCAATTGTTTTGGGTGGTGGTCGGTATCTGGTGTATTGCCATATTTTGAAGTTCTTCAGGGTGCGGAAATCCTTTTGATTCCTATTATCCTCATATACAGATAGATACGGAATGTGTGTAACCCATTGTCCCGATTTCATAATTTATGTCTTATAAGTGCCTCATCTCAAAAGCTACCTGGAAGGCCGTCTTCCATAATCATTAATACGATGACGTCCGCTTCCATTCTTGTCCATATCTGATGGCAATCTGGTTCTTCTCTTGTAATCTAGGACTGTGTAACCCTGACAAGAAAATGGTGGAACTCCACGCAAAAGACATCTGTTCAAAGAGCCCTACTGTACCTTCAGACGAGGATGATTAGATCTTCTATCGAGCATCAGCAAACTTAAAAGATTGGTTACCACGACTCAATTTTCATTCAATTCAGTTCCCTTGCTCTGTCAGCATTTCTTCTGTAAGATGCTCATTTTTTCCCAGAGTTTTTGTGGTTATACTTTACACATTGTAGAAGTAGAACTTTGGTCATTGATTTTGCACTGAACATTGGCCTTGACAGCAATATGTACCAAAAAAAGATTGTCTTGATAGCAATATGGATTTGGCTTTAATGACTAGGTGATGGTTGGTAGTTAACATCAGCCTCTTGTAAGTTGTAACAGACTCTTGTTGTAATGTAACACTTCCTATCACTTTTCTTTAACCGCAGATTAGGTAACTGTAGTTAACATATTATGTACCTTTTATAATTAACATATTATGTTTTTTCTATTTATTTGCAGGTACATAATCTATTAAGTGAAAGTACATAATCTGAATGTCAATTTAGACTCGAGTACACAATTCAAAATAGACATGATCCATGATATAATTTGCGGAACATGGCGGGGTGGGTTAGCATTTTTTAGGTTCAGTCATTTGGCAGGCCCGACCAAAATTTTGACA